AAAGCTATTAAAATACAAGGATATTGATATCGAAATCTAAAAACTGTGGCACATAAGGATATCAACAATCCCTTTTGCAGTTAGATCCCTCGGATTGATTGGAAAAGATTCCAATGCTCATTGAAGGTAGCCCATGATTAAAGAAATACAAAAAAATACCCACACGTTACATCTATGTAAAATATGTGTTTTTTGGGGTTTTTTTTTATTACTCTGTGGAAAATATCATGATACCATTTAGGTCTCTAGTTGGGACCCCGAAAAAATGAGTATACACCAGAAATCAAAAGAAATATAATAATAATAATGTTAATTTTACCGTTCAACTTGTTAGATGTAAACATAGATTTTATGTAAACTGTTTCTTTTCTCACACTACTCGTTTGTGGAACTCCCTTCCAGCCCCATGCTTTCTAGCCGACTTTAATAAAAAAAAATGCAATGTCAATCGCTGTTTATTAGGACAATAAACACCGATTGACATTGCATTTATTTTTCTTTTCACTTCGCGCTCATTGTCAATTCCTATTTTTTCCACATCTAGTAAACCCCTGTGTCTTAGTGGCTTTACTGCCTTGCATGCTATGAAACCGATAATAATAATAATAATAATAATAATAACAATAATAATAATAATAATAATAATAAATGGTGATGATGGCGATGATGGTCGTGGCCACGAAGAACGTGTGAAGAAAGATAAAATAATAAGAAATAAAAGGGATGCAACGATAAATATAGGAAGCAAGACCAACGAATAAGGATTGGATGAACTGTATTAACGACCAGTATAAGCATCAAATCAGTGTATAAGAACCAATATGATAGAAAGTCTATAATATTGGCAGGCACTATGGATTTAGGTAAAGAAAGACAACTGGAAGATGCTTCAAAGAATAACAAAAACGTGAGATCGAAATGTTGCAAGAAAGAGAGGCTGAAGAAGGAGAAGATTGTATTTATGGGTTTGCGCTCGAACGTGTGTCGGTGTAGGTTGTCGGTAAAAAGAGGTTGGAAGAAGGGTTTGGGTGTTGGGTGGAGTGGGGGTCTGGTAGTGCGGACAAACGCGAGAAAGCGAATGTCTTTATCTTGAAAAGTTTTCTGCTTCGGCAGCTCTATCTTAGGATGTTAAGCTGCTTTTGTGTGGCAAGACTTTCACTGGCTTCTCTGATTGGATGTGCCGCTACGGCTTCCAAAGTTCTATTTCTTCAGGCTTTTCGGCTTTTCTCAAATAAATCTTAGTTATCGGAAATAAATTGTTGGAGACAGATATGAAGGCCGACCGGCCGGCCGGCCGGCGGCATCCAGCCTTTATGATTTGTTATTTACTAAACTGAACTTAGTCTGGCACAAGACCACGCATATAGAGCACGCAAAGGATCAAAATTACTACTAACTTCTAATGGTGTACGAAACCAGCTAGCTAACGATTAACCTAGTCGAGGTTACCTTAATTTATTAAACTTAGCTTAATTTGGTATGATGCCAAATATACGTAGCACCTAGTGAAATTCGAACTCACTATACAAAGTGATGTTTAAAAGTTTATATCGCTAAATATTTTATAACCTTCTTTAATAAGCTTAGCTTCAATTAGGCACAAAGCCACATGTATGGGGGTACTTATTAAGGATCAATCTCACTATTCGAAAATAATCTACGACACTAATTTATTAATAGTTACGCTACAACGAGGCGCACTCTTATTATAGTGATTTGCTAAGTGAAGCTTAGATGTGGGCGGTACAAGGCCGAAAGTATGGACTACTTAGTGAGGATAGAGCTCACTGCTCATTAGTAATTGATATGGTAAGACAAGCGACGAACTATTGTAAAATTTAATTTGCTTAGCGTAGCGTAGATGTGACGCAAGGCCGAAAATGTGGATTATCTTGTGAGGATTGAACTCACTATTTCAGTCGCAGCTAACTAACATTTGCAACACGTCTAAGTGCCCCACTCATTTTATAAGATGAGTTTAACTGAGCCGAAGGTTGCACTAGGGACACCAGTGAAGACCGAACTTACTAATCAGAAGTAATGGCCAAACGGACTGGTTCGCCAGCCATTATTTTATGCTGAGGCGCCCATCCAGTCTGACTGGCAACATTGTCTCAAGCGACATTTCTCAAAGTGTCATTTCGTTGCTTCGTTTGTATTTACCCTCACTCACTAAAACTCACTGCTTAGTTTTGGCTTTCTTATATTTTTCTAAAAAAATATTTCGATTGCTATATTTTTGGAGCGGTTGGATTTTTTCGTTCTTTTATCTTTCTTACTTTCTTTCTGTGTTTATCTTATGTATTTATCTAATTTTTACTTCTTTTTGTCTTTCTTTCGCGGCTTCTTTCTTTTTCTATCTTTTTTTTTATTCCTTACTATATTTCGCTCTATCATATTTCCATTCTTTTCTTTTTTTTGTTTATTTGTTACTTTTTCTTTATTTATATATTTATCTATACTAATTTATTACATTTGTTCCTTATTTTTTACTTTCTTTTTTTTTCTTTCATGGCTTCATTTTTCTTTCTTGTTTTTTTTTTTATTACTATATTTCCGTCAACCGTATTTCCTCTTCTTTTTTCTTACTTTTTTCTTACTTTTTTTTTTCTTTTTTCTTTTTTCTGTATTTATTTGAATTTCTTATTTTTTTCTTTCTTTTTTCTTTCTTTCATGGTTTCTTTCGTTTTCTTTCTTGGTTTTCATTTGTTACTTTTTATGCTTCTATCATATTTCCTACTTATTTTTTTTTCTTTTTTCTTTCATACTTTGTTTGTTTGTGTCTTTCTTTCTTTACGTATTTCTCTGAATTACTATATTTCTCTTTTTCTTTATTTTTACTTCCTTTTTCTTTCTTTCTTTATGTATTTGTATCTCCTGATTTATTTCCCTTTTTCTTTTCTTTTACTTTTCCTTTTTTTTTGATCTTTCTTTCATGTTTTCTTTTCTTTCTTGGTCTTTATTTCTTACTTTATTTCTATCTATCATATTTCCTCTTCTACTTTTCTGTTTTCTTTCTTTATTTGTTTCTTTATTTATGTATTTGCCTTTCCATTTCTCTTTTCATTTTTCTTTATTTTTACTTCTTTTTTCTTTCTTTCATTGCGTCCTTATTTTCTTTCTTCGTTTATTTATTTATTCATGTATTTGGCTTTCCTATCTTTTTTCCCTTTTTCATATTTCCTCTTCTTTATTTCTTTCTTTTTTGCTTTGTTGGTTTGATTTTTTCTTTATTCATTTATTTATATATTTGTATTTCCTTCTTTTCCTTTTTCTTTATTTTTACTTTATTTTTTTCTTTCTTATTTCACTTCCGTCTATCATATTCCCTCCTTTTTTTCTTTCTTTCTTTGTTAATTCGTTTGTTTATGTAATTATACATATGTCTTTCTTACTTTATTTCACTTTTTCTTTTTCTTTATTTTTACCTCCCCTTGCTTTCTTTAATGGCTTCTTCCGTTTACTATCTTGTTTTTTTATTCCTTACTTTATTTCACTCTATCATATCCCTTTTTCTTTCTTTCTTTCTTTCTTTCTTTCTTTCTTTCTTTCTTTCTTTCTTTCTTTTTTCTTTATTTATTTATGTATTTATCCATGCAGCCTTATTTCTCCCCTTCTTTATTTTACTTCCTTTTTTTTCTTTCTTCTTTTTATTTCTTCCCATATTTCTCTCAATCATATTTCCTCTTCTTTTTTTTCTTCCTTTTTTTCTTATTTGTTTGTTTGTTTGTCTTTTCTTTATTCATTTATTTATGTATTTAGTTTCTTACCCTTTTTTTATTTCTTTTGTTTTCTTTCTTGGTCTTTATTTCTTACTTTATATCCCTGTATCATATTCTTTCTTTCATTATTTATTTATGTATGCATTTGTCTTTCTTAGGTTATTTCTTTTTCCTTTTTCTTTACATTTTTTATCATTCGTGCTTTTTTTTTTTTTTGCTTTCTTGGTTTTTACTTTTTACTTTATTTCCATCTATTATATTCCCTTTTCTTTCTTTCTTTCTTTTCTTTCTTTTCTTATTTTTCTTTTATTTTTGTCTTTCTTTCATGGCTTTTTTTTTCTTTCGTGGTTTTTATTTCTTACTTTATTTCCATCTATCATATTTCCTCTTCTTTTTTCTTTCTTATTTGCTTGTTTGTTTCTTCCTTTATTTATTCATTTATTTGCCTTTCCTTCTTTATGTCTCCTTTTCTTTGTTTTTATTTCCTATTTTTCTTGTTTTTCTTTATTTTCTACGATCATATTTAATCTTCTTTCTTTCTTTATTTTTTTATTTATTTTTCTTTCCTACTTCATTTCCGCTTTTCGTTTCCATTATTTTTACTTCTTATTTTTCATTTTGTGATTTCTTTTTGTTTTCTTTCTTGGTTTATAATACTCACTTTATTTCCTCAATCATATTTCCTCTTTCTTTCTTTCTTTTTCGCTTGTTTCTTTATTTATCTATGTATTTTTCTTTCGTACTTTATTTCTCTTTTTCTTTCTTTTTACTTCTTTTTTTCTTTCTTTCATGGTATATTTTTCTTTCTTAGTTTTTGTTTCTTAATTTATTTCCCTCCATCTTCTTTCCTTTTCTTTCTTTCTTTCTTTCTTTCTTCGACGCTTGCTTTTCAAGTCTTTTCCTTTCCGTTTATTCATTCAGTCACATTTTACGTTTCTTCTTTGTGATCTTTTCATAACTTTTAAGAATCTCTTTTTTGTTTTCATTTTAATAATGTTTTGTTCATTTTATAATTTCTTAATACATTTTTATTCCTCACTTTGAAAATTAAAAAAAAAAATCTTTATTTTTTAACAGTTCTTTGCTTCTCTATTTATCAGACTGTCGTTTAATATCGTTGTTTCTTTTTAAAATCTCTTTATATTTCTTTCTTCTTTACGACTTTTGTTTCAGAACGCTGTTATTCATTCCTATCCTTTCTGCTAAGTCTATCTTTCTGCTTTCAGCATTGCTTTTTTTCATGTGATTCTTTTTCTTTCTACTTTCATTTATATTGTCATGCGACCACACCACGTTGAAACACCGTTTCATGTACGATCACCGAAGTTAAGCAGCTTCAAGCCTGGTCAATACCTAGATGTGTGGCCGCTTAGGAATGCCAGATACTATAAGCTTTGATATGCGGGTGGTGTAATGAATAATAACTCGAAATTGTTAATCGGAGAGCCGAGTTCCAATTCCCGTTGAGTTGGTAATATTCATTTATGCGCAAATACCCTGAGGAAAGGTACGAATCCACCTCTTACCTTTCAGCTATGTGTTAAGTTGTAAGACTTGTATGAACTAAACAATTATTATCTCAAAAATTCCTATAATCTAAAAATATTTTCTGGATTTAAATAAATCGCAAAGGGTTGATAAACCGTAGAAAACGAATCAATATAAAATATATACTTTATTTATACAACGGAAAAAACAAACGAACAATGTAAAGCAACGTTTAAATATGAAAAATAAACAAAAGGAAAAGCGATTGTCAAACAAAATGCTGGAGGCGATAAAACATAAAAAGAAATCGATTTTGTTTGATTCTTGTTTTTATTTCATTCAAGTTTTTCATTCATTCCTTTGTTACTTTTGTCGTTTTATTTATATTGTTTTAAGCTTTTTTTCTTTTCTTTTTCAATATTTATTGTAGGGAAATATAAGTACTTATTTTTTCACGTGTGGAAGATCATTGTGGTTTTGTTGTTGTTCTCTCTTTCCTTACTACAGCACATTAACGTTCCTAGCATCAAATCCAATAAAGTAAACATTAAACAAAAATAACATACTTTTTTTGCTTATTTGTAGAACCAATGAGAATCACTTATACACTCAGGAAGCTTGAAAGAAGACAGTCGCCATTGCATCAGTAATGAACGTAATAACATTATCATTAAGTTGATTATAAATTGCTTTTCCCTTTCTTTACCAATATTATCCTAATCAATGTTACATCTGCATCCAAAATTAAAGTTACATCTATGATTGCATAATCACATAGATATCTCTCTAGCTATTCTATCTATCTATCTATCTATCTATCTATCTATCTATCTATCTATCTATCTATTATAGTATGTGTCATCTATCTATCTATCTATCTATCTATCTATCTATCTATCTATCTATCTATCTATGTATGATAAACATTAATGCGGAAAAAATAACCTTAAGTCTCTGACTACAACTTATGAGTGAAGTCATTATTAACTACTGAGCTATTTGAAACGCATTTTCTTGATAAGCCTTGATTGTGAGCCTGATTATGGCGATGCTGTGCCTGGCTCAGGATAATAAAAAAAGAAAAATTCTCTAAAAATGTAAAAAGGACAACTTTGAATTATTTTCTAGCATGGATAATTTGAAATGTAGTCGGAGAACTCTGTTGATACTACTAATTAGCCATTGTTGATTCTAAGTGGTAGAAACATCACTCGTCACTGATCAGCGCCCCTGAAAAAATATTCAACATTTAGTAGTTAGTGAAGAAATATTGGAATAGAGAAAGGTGATTTTTAAATGTGAAGTAAAGTATTAAGTAACAGAAAAGTTTGGCTACAAATATAGAAAAGAATGCAGAAATAAAGGTTCTCTTCTGTGAAAATGGAGGCCGGACAATCTTCTCACAGCTGAAGAAGAGACTGGAGACAAAAGGAAGCTGACGGAAGGACGATGAGAACGCCATGGACTAAACAAGTTTTAAGGAAAATAAAATCAAAATAAAAGTTTTATGCTTATAATCAGAACGAGAGTTGAATTTTTTTAAGCATATAATGATGAGAGAAGACCTGGAGAATTTGATAATCACAGCACATATTCAAGATAAGAAGAGCAAAGGGTAACAGTAATTAAACTACATAACAATCTTGTAGAAATATATGACAGAACAGCGACTAAAAGATGCCAGGAAAAGAGAAACCATACTAAAAGCTACAAAAGCCATGATCGCACACGCCCTGAAGGGAAACGTCATATGAAGAAGAGGAAGGAGTAAAATAAATAGACAGAAAAAAAAGGATAAAACTTTCTATTTAGAAGTAAATATGTTTATGTCTATGTGTGTATGCAAAATCTTACTAAAGTGATGTTGAAGGGTTAAAATTTGAAATGTGTATTTTTTTATACCTACGGTTTGATATAGTTATCAGATATAGATTTATATAATGTAGTAAGTTCCGGTCATTTGCATGCTTTATTGTATTTAGTGCGACATGTGGCTCGCTGTTAACTGAAAAAAAAAAACGGTGAAAGATACACTCTATATGTGTAAAGAATTCTGTTGCTAAAAAAAGAAAGTCAGGGAAATTAGCACGCTTTACTTATATACTGCGTCTGGCAACACAAAAAAAAAAAAAAAAAGAATTATTTTAGGCACACACACACACACATATATATATATATATATATATATATATATATATATATATATATATATATATATATATATATATACATATATATATATATATATATATATATATATATATATTCATGTGAATAGTTCCGGCCTTCACCACCTGATGAATGTAGAGGAGAGGTCTAAATCCAAACCCAAATGCAGGACGTTCTCACATCTGCTGCAGAAACCTCTCTCTGAATGACAATGTCTTCAGAATTGTAGCCGTACTCATTAGACTTGTCATATTCCGGGTTGGTGAGGCTACTTAACCCATATTTTGAAATTTTGAATTCAGAGTTGTTCTTTATTTAGACCCGTTTCCACTCAAAGCTGTCCTGTTATTTACCCATAAATGGAAGAGAAGAGATGAATTCATGCGTTTCCAAAGTGTATCTGCATATGTATATTTGTATATGTGGATATAACGAAATCGACTGTAATTCGAACCCGACTCTCCGATTCCTCAATCCGAACCACATTACATTACTCCATGCAATAAGTCAAGAGATCGGTTTGCTCTTTGTTTTACAACAATCGTTTTTACTATTTTTCATACGAGAACAGTTTTTGTGGAGGAATGCCGAAAAGATGATTATATATATATATATATATATATATATATATATATATATATATATATATATATATATATATATATATATATATATATATATATGAACAAATTATCTTCTCTATCCAGTGGAATTAAAACTGAAAATGCAAGTCATTCATCTGTCATGTTCAGCCTTTCTCGTCTCCCATCGCCTCATGAAAGAAAATGCATATTCTTCTTTTTTTCCGGAAGCCATTTCTCACCTAAAATTTTCTTTAAAAACATAGAAAGTAGCACCACGTTGCGAAGGTGTTTTTTAGTTTTCACATTCTGTTAAAATAAATAAATTCCTGGTATTTACGAAATAAATAACTTTTTTTGCGACATTTACCTTCAGTAATGAAGAATGGGATTTGTCACATTTTATATAAGATGACATGACACTTTAAATTGAATTTCGCGTAAATTCCCAGATATGTCCACTATTTTAGTTGCATAACACTTTCAGAAGATAAGCGAAGGTTAAAATCCTGTACACCTAATAACTTAAACCACATTATCAGATGAATGTTCATAAGAACAGCCAAGCGTGAAATTAAATTCACCTAAGATTTGACAGACGACTAAATAATATTAGTATTTCCAAAAAGGGCTTTCAAGATCAACTCCGATAACTTGCCTAAAATAAGACCTGAATTCTCTTTCTGTGTCTCTGAACGCGATCCTAACTCTATATACTGCCATAAATATGAACTTGTCACCTCAGTCTTCACTTATGAGGTTTGAATAAAATTCTTATATTTTCCTTAGAGCGATTTTATATAGGAGGTGGAGTAGTTTTTCAATATAAAAAAGATAAAACAATTATTTAATTTTTCTCTTGACGATTGTGACAAAATTTTTTGTGCTGACATTATATTTGCTTTTCATGACAAACACTTACATATTGTTTGTCCTTAAATCAAGACAAAGATTCTATTATGTTTTTACAGTTAAATTTTATGTATAATGTATATATGTGTATATAATTAACTATAATAATAGCACAAATCTATTACGCTACCATGTACATTAGTAAAAAAAATTAAGTCGTTTCGAGGCGTGCAGATACTTGTAAAGAAAGTGACGTCTATACATAAAATAGAACACTAGTTAAGGTTGAAAAATACATATGACAAGAACGTCATTTACCGCCTCTCGGACCAAAAAATGTTGTTTCCGTTTCGTCAGCTTTACTGTTGATATGTTAGCCGTGATCACTAAATTACTGTTCTGGCTAAGAACAGTGAAGTTCAAGCTGTAACTCTCAATATATCGAAGATGTTCGACAGGATTTGAAATGCTGGCCTTCTACGTAAGCTACAGGACTAAGGTGTTAAAGGACGAATGTTTGATTTAATCCAGTCTTTCCTATCAAAACTAGAAATAAAGATCGTTTTGAAAGATGTCGCTTTTCAGATTCTTTCTCACGAACGCGGTGTGTCCCCTAGGGCTCTCTCCAATCCTAGGTCCTACGTTATTTCAAGATCGTCATCAATGATTCCCGATGTCATCAGTTCCCAATATGTATTTAAAAAGATGAATTTACCATTTATTTCTGTCCCAAAAGTAAATCCGACAGATCTGACAAAGTACCTGGCAGCTGAAAAGGACCACCAAAGAGTTGATAACTGGGGCAAAATATGTCTCAAAAACATCACTGCTTTCATTTAACTGCTATAGAGAATCTTTTCTGCCTGCCATCAACATGGCGGAGGCTAAACTCCAGGACAGGAACACACATCTCCTTCTTGGACTTACGTTTTCCACTGACTTTAAGTGGAGCCGCTACATCGAAATATTACCTGCATCTACTGCAAGGTAAGTTGTGTCCCTGTGTCGTAGTAGATAATTTTTCTTGTCAGAATCCATCTTGCACATTTACAAATCTGTCCGTGCATTGAATAATGTTGCCATATTTAGTCTGCTGCTCCTGCTATACATCTCGAGATTTTTGACAAAATCGAAAGAAGAATCTGCAATGTAATCGATCCTAACCTGGCATCTAGACTTCAGTCATTTTCTCACCGACAGGACGTGACTTCTCTATCTTTTCTGCAAATATTTTCACAGTAATCATCCTGACAAACTACTTACCCTGGTACCCTGAATACATGAATTTAATCGTGC